ATATTTTTAAGTGCGCAAACTTTATTTTTTATGGATCACTTTCTTTAGTTTAAGGTTCATTTCTGAATGTTTTATGGATCAATTGAAATAAGTTTATGGGTAATTCGTACAATTCCAATGCTCATTATTTAGAATTTAGCGGTACATTTTTACAATTGTGTTGCTAAATTTCACATGAAATATTGATAATATTGATATGTTTTATGGATCACCCACACTTTTGTAGGGATTTTGGATGTTTTTAATGGAACATTTTTCAATATTTTATGGATCGTTTTATCAATTCTAAAGGTGCATACTTAGGCCTGCCGTTCGCCATCTCTTTGTTTTAAGGATTTAAACCTCTTTTTATAATTCAAAGTTTTTTATGTAACTTCATACGCGAAGTTTGCGATTTGCAGAGTTGGTTGGAAATGCTATCTTACATGAAACTTTAGTGTGATAATTTATTAGCTACACAGCAAAAAATTAATTTTAATATCACATCAAAGTCGATGCACTTCAATCGTGTCGAAAATACGGTGTAATATTACTTGCCAAAAAGGGCAAAATTATCATTAATACAGTGCATGTGCTGACATTGCGTTGCTTTTACTGCATTTGTTTATTTGTGTGGCTATAAAAATTACATGAGATTTTCGACATGATTGAAGTGCATCCTCTTGGATGTAATATTAAAATTTATTTTTTGCTGTGTAGATAATGGTCTTAAAAGAGGGTGGGTAGATAGTTCCGTTAGAGTACGGCAGTATGAAAATTGAATAGAAGTTGAAAATGATCGAAGGGCCATTAATGCGATTTGCCTAACCCGTACGATGTACGCGGAGATTTGAAGTGTGTCTCCAAATCTACAGGCAAAAAAGTGTGCGCCCGCCTTTGCTCATGTATTGTCTGCGGCTGTGGAATAGTTCTAGTGACGTTTCATAACTACCGAAGGCCCCACGCTGACATACTTCAAATCTCCGCGTACAAGAAACCTTCAGAAACGTTTCGAGAACTTTTCTGCAAATTTGAATTGAGGAAATTTGAGGAAACTTACAAGAAGACTAGATCTGGAGATCTCCAGGGAAGCTCCGAGATCTTAAGTGCAGCCTCAAGAAAGTTCAGACTTTTGGGGAAGTTTAATGGTTTGTAAATGTTATATTCTATGAAAATACCATGAGTTTTAGGAAAATTTTAAAATTAGTAGAAGAAGTTCCGGGAATTTCAGGGAAGTCTTGAAAAATTAAATACTTTATACATATTTCTGGATTATTGCCTTTAAACAAGTCCAGAGTTTTCAAGGGAAATTTGTTGATTGTTGTGATTTCAGAGCAGTCCCAAAAATGTCATACCGCAAACTCCAGGGTAGCTTTAAGAATACCAGGGAAGATCAGCGAACTTCATCTATCTTCAAGAAAGTTGCAGGAGCTTTACATAAGTTCCGAGAAACTAGGGGAATCTCTGAAAACTTTACCAATGTTCCGTGATGTTCAATCTTCTAAGAAGTATAAATATTGTTTGGCAGTTTATTTTTTTAAGATTTTCTGAGTATTTAGAGAACTTTAGAGCAGTTCAAATAGTTAATCGCAGGAGAATTTCAAATAGGTTCCTAAATGTTCTGCAAAATGGTGGGATCTTCACAGAAGTCCCATGAAAAGCAGGAAAATTTATGGAACATAAGAGAAGTTCCGATAATTTCTTGAAAACTAACACTCTTTCAACGTTTTATCCACATGTTTAACCAAAATCACTACTGCATTACCTTTGTCCGCTTTTACCAGACAAGAATACCAGTAATACCAGCTTTGTTTTTAATTCTTTGTTTGGTTTTCCGTCGATCTTGTTTTCCATACTGAGTACCAATGCTGCCTACGCCAGGGAGGCAGCTCCCACACCTGGTTCCTACCTATCGACCCATCAACTCATGAACAGGGGACCAACGACTTTACTACCCTCGAAGGAAGGCATGATCAGAGAGTTTATGCCTCAGAAAATCCCGGCGGGGCCGACTTGGATTGAACCCAGGCCTTCTGGGGTGAGAGGCAATCACGCTTACCACTACACCACCGGCGCCGCTAAACTACTAGGCTCAAGGAAATTAATTGAGCTATTCGTTAAAAATATTCTCAAGATTGACACTCACGAATAATATTCCAAAAGGTCAAAAATTGCCCAAATTACATTAGTGAATTTTATGCTATGAATATTGCAAAAATATCAACAAGTTTTTGTTGTAAATTTAATGTTTTTTTTTCTGTAATATTCACACTATTTCAACGATAATTGATAACTGTAGGCAGTATTTTGGGGCCTCCCTTAGCTCAGTCGGTAAATGAGCAGCTACAAAGCAAGACCATGCTGGAGGTGGCTGGGTTCGATTTCCGGTTCGGTCTAGGAATTTTTCGGGTTGGAAAATTTCTCGACTTCCCTGGGCATAGAAGTATGATTGGACTTGCCACAAAATCATATCAATGCAAAAATGGTACAGGCATCGGAAGCGCTCAATTAATAACTGTGGAAGTGCATCTAGAACACTAAGTTGAGAGCACGCAATAAGCTAATATGCGATATGCAATAAGCTTGAAATGCGAAGAAGAAGAAGAAGAAGAAGTCAGTATTTAAAAAAAACTACTACTTTTTTCAAAAAAATAATTCTTTTTATATAAATTTTTCAACATGAAGTAGTTCACACGATATCTGAGCTTGAGTTTTTTTTTCAAATATGCGAATTAAAATATTTTAAGTTTTTATTTCATATATTTTTTTTTTGTTACGAAAAAAAAACAATTATTTTTTTTTTTCAGAGTACACTGGAGTCGTTTTTTACGCGGTTTTTTTTTACGTGGATTTCGGAATTTACACGGTTTTTTTTACGCGGATTTTGGTTTTTTTTTTACGCTGCTTTCAGAATTAACGCGGTATATCGTTATACACTAGAGTCGCTTTTTATGCAGTTTTTTTACACGGTCTGTTTTTACGCGGTTTTTTTTTACGCGGATTTCGGAATTTACGCGGTTTTTTTTTACGCGGATTCCGGAAAAACCGCGCTTTTTTTTACGCGGGACGTATCACCCGCGTAAAAAGCGACTCCAGTGTATATTTTTTCTAGAAAGGTTCCACAACTTCGTCAAAAACCCCATTTCGATCACACGAATAGTTCTCGAGAGAGGTATTTTTGAATTAATGGATATCGTTTTTGCATAAGCCGTTTTAAAAAGTTAATCGCGTTCGAATATAACTTGTCCTGTTAGCCTTACGTAGCTTGCCTTGGCGCGATCCTGTCAATTTACCTCCTTACTCAGACCGATGCTTGGTTCCGGATGTCCACTAAGCTTGACATCTGGTTTTCTGGACTTGCAATCAAAGCTTACCCGATTTTCCTCGATTTCTACCGGATGACATCATATGAATAGCCAGCTCAGCCATAAGTTCTCAAAGGGGTATATTCAAATTTGCTAGACGTGCAAATACTTCGAAAGAAACACACTGAATCGATAACGTCTGAAATGTTTGTTAAGCAAAAAATAAGGTATAGGAAAAACGAGACTAAAGTGAGGAGGCGAGGTTTTATTGTACTTCCAAATCATTTGACTTATTCTCGAGATCTTTTGCGTTTGACTAACTAATTGTAACATTTTCCGCATATTTGCAGGTGTTTTAATGAAAGACAAGCTTCCAGATAGCTTATTAATTTGCTACCGAAATCTTGTGATGGCTAACGTTCAATTTTCTACATTTCAATCTGTTTTGACCAGTTTGATACCAACTTATCAATTTGACTCGGATAATAATAGTAGAATAGTTTGTAGAATAGTAGACTAGAATTCCCCTTAAATTAGCCAATCTATCCTTCGCTATTTCTATAAAACATTCGACAAATAACGCTGGTTTAATTCTTGGAGGATTCTTGTCAAGATTTATGTTATTTCAACAGATACACAGGAATTTGATTTCCGAAAGAAATAGTTTCGATCTGCCCTACTCAATTCTCCAAATCACTGACCAAAAAAAAAAGCCCCCCGATCGCATCAAATACCCACTTGTTCTGCCTCTTCCAACCTCGAACCGATACATCCACACATGTCTCTGCCGTCGTCGCTTCTGCTCGCGTTTTTCCACGCTTGACATCTTTATCGCCCGGTGCCGATCTAAATTGAGTGATTAAAGAAACGTTTTGTTCAATTTAAAAACCAATAAACATACAAACCGCTCGCATCGCAGCCCATTCGGGAGAGAAGCCCCGGCCAGCAGCGTCTGAAATCAGTTCAAACGACAATCGAAGCAAAAGATTTCCTTTTCCCTCTCTGTGTCCCTTTTTTTCTTAGCTTTGTTTTTTTTTCTGCGTCAATCTCAACATTCTTGGGAGATTGGGCTTTCGGAAGATTCCGGGCTGTTCGAGCCGTTGAGCCACGGAATAGAATCACGTGGTGGACGACGACGACGACGCGGGAAAAAAAAGTGACTCAGACAAGTGCAGTCGAAGAAGAGACGGGACGTGAAAATACCGCGACATCGCGCCAAATTTTATTAACTTTGACGATTGATGGTGTCTCATGCTGGTTTTTGTTTGATTGGAATAAATTTTGGTTTTCCAGCCAAAATGTTTGCTTTATGGCGTTGTTTCGGGCGAAAAACAATCAAACAAAATTAACTTAATAGTCGCGGACCCCATAATTAGTGTAAATTTAATAAAGAATCGAAAAGCCGATTTCCAATTTGATGGAAATTTTCCGAATCGGACGGTGCTCCAGTTCTGTGTGAGGTGTGATAAATACTTGGTAAATTTTTAATAAAAGCCCTTCACCAAGTCCTCCTCCGTGCGAGCCTCGGCTGGCTGGTAGCGATTATGTGTCCGTCGGAGCTGACGCAACCCTATTATTAAGCACGATTCCGTCCCGAGCCAATTCCGGCCCAACCAGGTTTCGGCCCTTTTATCTCGCAAATTAACTTTTTCATCACTTGATTAAGTTTATTAAAATTATAATACTGATTGTTTTCCTCCGTCCATCTGTTTTCAGTTCAACCACGTAGGAGAAGCCAGTCCCGGGCGGCAGCAGCAAGCGAGTGCAAGCATCTTTGTGAGTGAAGCGGTGCGCGTAAAACCGGTCCAAAATTTACAACATCGCACGGCTTGCCGATCTAGATCAGCCCGGTAGTCACCGACCAATGGGCATATCGGATGAGTGCAAGCTGCTAGGAGTGGAGGACATACCCCATGAGGCTCGGCCACCCCAGGGTAGTCCACTGGAGCGAGGCTGCATCGGCGGAACTGGGAGGTCGAGCACTCCAGGCCATCTGATGAACAGCCCCGGTGGAGCAGGCATGGGAGGCGACCCGAACAGTCCGATGTCCGACCAGCACAGCGACGACGGGATCGACGATTTTCAACCAAAGAGAAAACAGCGCCGCTACCGAACCACGTTCACGAGCTTCCAGCTGGAGGAACTGGAGAAGGCGTTCTCAAGGACTCACTATCCAGATGTGTTCACGAGGTAATTCATAACTTGCACTTCGTAGCTTCCGGAATTTACCGCGCCTAGAAAATCCAATTAATTCAACTGCCTGTTCGCTTGTCCGACCCCTCCCTTCTTCCCTCGGGGCAGTAAATTTACTGCCACAAAGTTAAAATTGCATTAATAATCACTTAGAAGAAACTTCTGCTCGCGAGGAATCTCACCCAACAGCAGCAGTAGTAATAATGAACCTTTCAACATTTTCTTCGAAGTAACGCGGAAAATTGCACGAACGCGAGAGTTTCCTGTTATTTGCGGGTACTCTACTGGCCTTCATGCAGCAGTTGCAATTGCACTTTTTTTTTCGCGTTCGATAGCTTTCCCCGCATCCTTGCTAGTCCAGTAAGTCTTCTTTAATCCACTTGTTACTTGCTTCAATTTAAAACCACGCTGTGAACCAGAGCGAGAGAGATTGAAGTAATTTAATGCTTTAACACTTTTTCAGAGTGCGTTTGAAATTTAATTTCCTGTTTGGGGTTGGCGAATAGGTGCATATCTCGCGCCACCATCAGGAGAGCACGAACGGACGTGATGATTTGCGACGACGGCGACGAGCACGCGTTCCAGCAGAGCTCGTGTGTGCGGGCGGACGGAGGGATGTGGTTACTACCTTTGCCTGTTACTTCCTTTCAATCAGATCAATCAATGCGTTTACAAGAGGTGGTGGATGCAGTTTCATAACATGCATTGAAGAGGCGTTGATTTCAATTTTAAATTTCACTTATTATGATTACGTGCTCGGCGACTGTGTTAGGGAAATCACCTTTTTGACGTAGGATTACATCTTTTGGCAACATATTGGGGGTACAATTTCAAACAACCAAAATCGACTGCGTTACGAAAAGGGGTCAGGATTTGACCACTTATAGCTCTGTCAATAGCGGATCGATATTAATTCTTAACAAGCCAATCGATTGCAATGTCATCTACGAATCTGCTAAAATCAACAATTTATCAATTTTCCATGTTTATTCAATCACCGCGTTTTGTTAGTGGTGGTGTCCAGTGACCATCATCATCAGCAGCAGCAGTGCTTTTGGCCCGTGGCTGTAGATTGTTTTCCATACGACAAAAGGCTGCTCGGAAGCTCGATCTGCAGCCCACTGAGCGGTCCATTCTCCAAAGAAGGAGGAAAAAGTTTCACCGCTACTGATCGGATGTCAGTTGCTCATCGTGAGGCGCTGTGGGCCATCTATGCCAAACGTGTCACCGTTCCAAACAACATACAGCTCGTCAGCTTCATCTGTGTTGAACACCTTAATAGCTCAGCAATATTCAACCATCACGACAAAACGGTCCTTTTCAGGACCACCATAAATTGGTTTAAGAGTATTTTCTGGACACTTCTCACGTTAACTTTCAAATAGACCAAATCTACATTGATCGATTCTCTTCATCGACTCTCTCTTTTGTTGGTTATTTTACTGTATTAATATTTCTGGTTTATTTTTTTCTACAAAATGCAAACGCGCTTTCCCCAACACAGACTTCAAAATTTAATTCCATCTGATCTCACCAAGCGGTGTTCATTCAATCACCGCGTCTGGTGAGTGATGGTATTCTCCAGTAATGAAAGGCTCCCTGCAAGCAGCTAGCTATCAAGACTGCCCTCAACCGCTGATCGGATTCAATAGCTCGTCATGAGCCGCTGTGGGCCATCTATGCCAACCGCGTCACCCTCGTTCCAATCAACTCCGTGTTGAATTCCCTAATATCTCAGCATCACAAAACGATTCTTTTCAGGACCACCATAAATTATTATTTTTTAAGAGTTAATTTGCATTCAACGTTTGCTCGCCTTGCTGCCAGCAAAATCACCCCCACAGCTCTTTGATAATGTACCCAGCAACCAAAGTTTTGTGGTCAAATTCGTCAAGAATTGAAGTGGTACATAGAAAATCTCGCCATGACCGAATACCACATGCTCATGTCAATTGACAAGGAACACGTAAGGTTTCTCCAGGACGCTATATAAGGCAAAAAAAATTATATGATTGATCGCGAATATCTCGCGATTGCTAAAATTTTAGTCAGAAATTCCTCCAATCAATAATCGATTTTTTCATTATGTACTGAAAAATCCAAAAATTCCGCTTGTTTTGTGCGTGAAAATGCGTAATTTTGTCATTAGAAAACGAGGCGTTTCCATGATGGGAAAAGTGGTTTCCCTAACACAGTCGCCGAATATTGATACCAAGCACTGAGCAAGCCAGACGGTACCTATTTTTATGCCTTTTGATGCAAAGTTTAAGCCCCTCCTATTAAGAGAATTGTGGCATAATTTTTTTTTTGCCTAATTGCCTAAATAGAAGGGGCTTAAAAGCACAAACGTAGGTACCGCCCAGAATGCTCAGATTCGGTGATTGATGTGTTTTCTAAACTGGCTTCCAAGCATAGGTCCAGACTGATAACTAAAGAGTAAGAGCTTGTATCCAAGACATACCGTCCAGGATTGGCGTGTACTACATGGAACTCTCATTGTTTCCGAATTTAAACGTATCGAACTTTTTCACTGATAACGAGTTAAGAAATCAATTTAATATTTACTATACTTTTGCTGTGGCATCAAAACTACCTTTCGTAATCCTACGTCAAATCTACGGTCGTGTCTTGGATACAACCTCTTGCTTTTTTTCATCACGGAAACACCTCGTTTTCTGTTGACAAAACTGCGCATTTTCGTGCACGAAACGCACGGAATTTTTGGTTGATTCAATAGATAGGTAGATAGTAGTATAAACATTTTCAAGTCGCGAAAAATTCGCGGTCAATCATATAAATCTAGATAGAGCTGGAATTAGGGCGTAACAGCTTTTGTAAACAATGACTTCTATCGATGATTTCTAGGAATTAAAGGCACGTCCACGCAGGCCAACCTAACCATCGGATAGGGGAAGTCTTTCCCTAACCGATGAAGATGTTGGTTTGCGTGGGTGAGGCTTATATTTCTAGAAATCATCAAGAGAAGTCATTGTTTACAACAGCTGTTAGGCCCTAATTCCAGCTCTATCTAGAAATGCGTCCTGGAGAAAACCTTACCTTCATTCTAAGTGTTTCTGGTTAATTGACAAGGACATGTGGTTTTCGGTCATTTCGAGAATGTGTATGTACCACTTCAATACTGTTACGCAGTTGACGACAAACGTTTGGTTGCTGGGTACATTATCAAAGAGCTGTGGGGGTGATGTGGCTTGCAGCAAGGCGAGCAAACGTTCAATGAAAATTAACTCTTAAACAAAAATAATTTATGGTGGTCCTGAAAAGGACCGTTTTGTCGTGATGGTTGAGTAATGCTGTAATAGCTGGGGTGTTCAACACAGATGATGCTGGCGAGCTGTATGTTGTTTGGAACGAGGGTGATGCGCTTGGCATAGATGGCTCACAGTGACTCACGATGAGCAACTGAATCCGATCAGTAGCGGTGCGCCTCATGTGGACTGCAGCTCGCTGCTTGCGGGCAGCCTTTCGTTGTGTACTGGAGAACAATATTCAACACCACACGCCTAAGGCACTGCTGCTGCTGCTGATGATGATGACTGACCGGACACCATCACCCATGGTGATTGAATAAGCAGCGTTTGGCGATGTAATTCGATTTTGAAATCTGTGTTAGGGAAAGCGCTTTTTGCAGGCAATCGGTGATAATTTTGATAACCATTGCAACAGTTGGACATTTGTGTAATTTTCAATAGTGATCTTTTGAAAAATTTCCAATAAATTGGCTTGTTTAAATTTAAACTCCATCCGATATTGACAGAGTTATAAATGGTTAGAACCTGACCACTTTTCGTAACGCGGACGATTTTGTTTTATTTAATTGCACCTGCAATGTGTTGTTTAAAGACGTTATCCAACGTCAAAAATAATTCACTTTCAGGACAAACATACACGGTAAAAAAAACTTCACGAAATGTTTGGTTAAATACCCATAAAAGTGTTTAAAACTTCAATAACATACAATGGCATTCTTTAATATGTTTCGAAAAAAAAAAATCATTGAGTAGCTTATTTTAAATGTAAACATATTTAATGCCGAAATTTCAATATAATGAGAAGTGCCTCAAAAGTGCATGTAGCTTTCCAATAATTTTGGAAACTGAACCGAGTTGAAATGCTGGTATATTAATAATGAAGAAGTTTTTGGAGATCGTTTTAACGTGTTTAGGGAAGATCGCGATAAATTGTTATACAATAAAAAATGTGGATATAGTGCATTAATAGCAGTTAGAGTAGAGTATGAATCATAGCAAATTTCAACTTGCAAATGCAGGGAGTTCGACCAGTGTGGGTTAAATTTTGTATTGGAGATCAAATTAAAATTTTGGTAGCAGTTTATTTTTCTCCAGAACATGCAAAAAATAGTCTTTCGAAAAACCTTTTAGTTTGGCGGATACCATTATTTCAGCATTTGAGGCTAAAGCAAATGCTCATATATACGGAGATTTTAATCAACAAAGAACAAGCAGTTGATGCATTCAATCAAATTATTTCAGATATTTTGGAGCTGACAGCGCCAATGAAGCAAAGAAAGAGAACAAATACAAAGGCACCAATATGGTTCAATAGACAAATTTTTAAACTTTGGAATAGAAATCAGAAAGCTAATAAGGCTTACTAAATAAATATTAACGATAAAAATCTTACATATTATCTGCATTATGTAACCAGCTGAATCTATACATGAAAACTTCATATGAAGAACACAGTATATAGTTAGAAAATAACATTAAGTCAGACCCAAAATCATTTTGACGTAGGACTACGTCTTTAATTTCTATATTGGGGTACACTTTGTGAAAACCGAAAATGAAACATGTAACGAAATTATTAAAGATTTTGAATGTCAATAGCTCAGCTGCCCCTAGACCAATTTCAATAATTTTATCACCAATCGATCAGAAATATTTCTTCTCATCAATAGCAATGCTTCTGACTGTCAAACATTGTTCAAAAGCATCGAAATAACTAACTAATCTACT